TTGAACCTGATATCTGCTGAATCTAAAATATATGTCTACGCACTGATTTGAAGAATAATCCAAGAGTTAGCTCAGCTAACACTAGAGTGGTTAAAATTCTAAAATGTAGAATGGAAATTATTTTTTATAATACTCATCCCAGAGTGACTCCATGATAGCATTGTGGCTCTGCCTGAGATCTCGGGGAGGTTTGGGTTTGCTATAAGCATATTGGCATGACAGCAGATCTTAGAGAACAATCAGTAGAATGATATTTCTACTGGACAAAGAGGCTTATCCTAAACCTCTATACTGGATTATGTTTGAGCTAAGACTGCAGTTTTTATAAAAAAGAAACAGAGCATAATTCAAAATTCAGGTATAACTTTCATTATCTATTACATTTTCAGAAAGTGCACTACCATTACAGTCAATTTTCTAAAACAAATTCATAGAAAATCATGACTCTGAACTAATTTTGAAGGGCTTATTTTTTTTTCAAATGGATAAACAATCCCATTGTATATTATAAAAAGTTATAGTTCAAAGATTCCAAAAGAACATAGCTAGCTACCATTAAAGGTACAATTTTCAAAAAGCACAGTATAGCATTCTTTCCCTTTCTTCAGAAGTAGCTAAATGAATTGCCTTTGTTTATTTTTAACACACACACACATATACCCACACATATGAATCCTACTACTGGTGGTAGGTCGTAACAAAAAATACCTAACCTAAGACAAGATTAAAAACAAATAAAGGAGCTAGAGAAAATCCATAGTATTAATAAGAAAATGGTATAACATGGTAAAATGCCCAGATATTCTAATAACAAATATAAAATTACAATGAAAGCGCTGTCAGGTTCTGCCTCAGAAGATCAGGTTGCCTAGAGAACTTCCTCCTTAGGCATCAAAGGAGAAGACACGTATTTGGAATGATCTCTACTTGACTATTAGACCAGAAAACTCATCACAAGGACCTTGAGAAGCATTGGGGACCATCTGTCTACCAAAGGGAATCTTCCTGTTTCAACTTCTGTCTTTCCATCACATATATTTCTTGCATTCAGAACCAGCACACGGGGAATCCTTTTCTTTGCCTCCTCCATTTTACTTTTTTTTTAAATCAAGAAAGCTTCAATATTTGAAAGCCAAAGTTATTATGGGCCTCATATCATTTGGGGTAAATTGCCTTTGTCATGATAAGTCTTTCTTCCCTTCATTATATCATTCATTTAACCCCCTTTGCAACAATCCCCTCTTGCAAAGCATTGCTTCCCTTCATTATACAGTGAAACTTTAACCCCTTTGCCACAATCCCTTCCTGCTAGGCTGTTTAGACCAGTATTATTTTAAAAAGCTAACACCCATTCCTCTACATCACTGAAACAATTCAACATGAGTAAATCTGTTAGATCACATCCTGTATAGACTACTGCAACGTGCCTTTGAAGACTGTTCAGAAGCTTCAAATGGTTCAACGGGTGGCAGCCAGATTGCTCACCGGAGCGGCGTTCAAGGAGCATACAACTCCCTTGTTACGCCAGCTCCACTGGCTGCCGGTTTGCTAAAGTCAGCACTTTGAATTGTGCTACCGGGCACAATTCAAAGTGCTGACTTTAGCCTATAAAGCCCTAAACTGTTCCAGTCCAGCTTACCTGTCCAACCGTATCTCTCCCTATGAACCACCTAGGAGTTTAAGATCAACTGGGGAGGCCCTGCTCTTGGTGTCACCTTCTTCACAAGTGCAACTGGTGGGGACGAGAGACAGGGCCTTCTCAGTGGTGGCCTCTTGGCTGTGGAACTTCCTCCCTAGGAATATGAGATCAGCCCCTTCCCCCTGACCTTCCACAGAAAAGTGAAGATATGGCTTTTTTTAAAACAAGCCTTTGGGAACTTAGTGCAATAGATAAACATGGAATGGCTTAGATAATGTTTTTGGACGATTGTGAAGGTAGTGGTTTTATATGTTTTTAAAGGTTTTAATATATGCATTTTATAATTCTGTTTTAATTGTGTATTGTAATTTTTACTTGTTTTAATTGCATTGAATAGCTGCCTATGTTGTAAAGCTGCCTTGAGTCACCTTCGGGTTCGAGGATGAGGAAGGCAGGGTAGAAATATCATAAATAAATAAATAAATAAATAAATAAATAAATAAATGTGTTTTTCAATGTTAGTGATGGGTCTGGCACATGCCAGAGGCTCAGAACACGATTTATCACCCATGTTCAGATCTCCCTCTTTTCAGTATGCTTCAGCTCCATTGCAAGAACAAAAGGCAAAACAGATGAGGGCTGAAGTAAGCGAATGTCATCTGAAGGGCTCCATGCCACTTCATCCTTGAAATGAATCTAATTGTCTTGCAACAGGGAAAATACTCAATGTGATGAGTCCTAGATCTTCTTATTCTTAATAGATCAGTCCAAGGACACATTCCTGGGGAGATCATGTATTAGTCCAATTAACCATCCTAAGGCACATCAGTACTAACCCATTATCCCCAAAGGGGGATAAATGAGCATTGTGACAGCTAAATGACACATGGAACTGTTTCAGGTTACTGGAGCCTTGAACCACATCATTGTTGTTGTTGTTGTTATTATGTTTATTTATACCCTGCTTTTTCTCTCCACAAAGGAGACTCAAAAGAGACTGAAGTGAGATACTCTGAATCCTCCCAGAGAATCCATAGAAAGCCATGACTTGGGCTTGTTTAAGCAGTTGGGCTGTTTCTAAGATGGAACTGGTTGCAATAATTTAAAAAGCCATACAATATTCCGCAGGCCCAGGCACATGGGATGACACTCACTATCCCCCTCCTGTTCTCATCACCAGCAGACACAACATGGCCAGTGTCCATCACCTGTTCATCCTGGAATGGCATTAGCTGGAGTGACAAGGTAATCAGAGAAGGAAGGGAGAAAGAAGCAACCACTTCTCCTCCATCACCCTCCTGTGTCACTCTGGTGCCTTGACCGACATCATTCCAAGTGATGATTGACAGACACTGGCCATTAGGGATGTGTGATCCATTAAAATGGTTCAAAGGTCATTACAAAACTTGGGGAGGGGGGGCTGTCACTTCGTTTCTAAAGTGTTTTTAAAGTATACTTAGTGAAAATCTTGTTACTGTAATGAGACTTATGACATTTTGCTACTATTTCATTACAGCAATCACACATAATTAAATTACTATAATTGGGGAAACTTCAGGGGCTCCTATCTCCCTCATTTTTAAAGCAATTGGCATGAAACTTGCTACACATTTACCACTCTTAGCCCACCAAAGTTCAGAATGTTTCACCTAACCATGGATTTTTGGCAAATTTTCAGTTTTTATAAAAACATTTTTAAGAATAAAGAAAATATGCTCCTAATTTGAAAGTGCTATTTCCTGATTAATTGTGTGGTCTTTCTGGTGCTGATGCAGTCTGAAAAATGTAATTTAGGGCAGGACCTTTTGAATTCTCTGGCATAGGGCCCCTCCTTCCCCAAACTACATTTCCTAGACCGTATTAGCATCAGAAAGCACCAATCAGTGGGGTTCCCAAAATGCACTGCTCCCTCTTTCGGCCGCTGCTAATGCCAAGACTGCATTAATTTCACAGTGGCACTAAGACAGCCTTTCGCTTTGCTTCCTTGCCTTGCATTGAATATGAAACTGACTTTGGGAGCATTCCAAGATTTACAAAACACAAACAAATAAGTGTGGGGTAAGCTTCAATTCTAAAATCTTTGGTGTGGGCCACGTAAACATTTCAAATATGCCTTATGACTTAAACTTCTGATTCTCTTACGATTTCCAAAACTTCTATTTTTTTCCACATGCCTACTAACCATGTCATGCCTACTAGCAGCCACTACAATGACAACAGGAGGAGAATTGTAAACATGGACGTTTAGTAATGCTGAACTGGGTTTGGCACCACTGGATGATCAGAACTCCCCCCACCTCCACAGTAGCCAAGAGCTGATAATCAAAACCATCCAGCATTTGCCACTCCATATTGACCCTGGGATAATGCATTTGTGTAGAGCCATTCCTGGTCTCACACAAGATTTTGGGCTTGGTGGGATACTTAAAAGTCAAGTCTTACAAATATAGAGATCTCTTTTGTAATTAGTGTAAGAAATCAATAACTCATCTTCAAACGGGACTCAATGTTATGCATTCACCTGATTTCAAAAGAAGCAGATGATCTAGGAAACTAGGTGAATGAACATCAGAATTTTCTGGGTTTGTCGTGTTAAACTTTATCAATACTCCACCTTTTCATAAAAGGGGGGGGGGGGCTAACAAATTAAAGGAATTCCAGCACATTTTTTATCCTGACACAAAAAGCATAGTTTTTGAAAACTTAGAAGTCAACATTAAAATGTAATTATGAAAAAGATTAAAACAATTTAAAAATACACTAAAATACCCTCTTAAAAGCACTTTCCCTAAAAACCTTATGTCCGATTTTTTAAAAAGAAGTATCAGCTTTGCAGATATTGACAGTCTATTATAGCCTGTCAACATCTGGAGGGCCAGATGATTCCCACCTCTAACTAGGGTTTCTCAGACATGACTTGCCATATCCTAGCTTTACAACGAAATACTATGTATTCTTTGAAAATATGTGTTACTTTCTGAGAGACATCCCTATGTCTAGCACCAGATGTTAGTCATCCACATAGCACAATCAAATGGTCTTAGCTTATAAATGAGTATTTAAAGAGACTAATTAGTATTAAAGGGGCATTCATTTTCCACTCTGCCCCTGTGGGAGCCATGTGGAGAACCATAGACCTTTCAGAAGTGCTTGCAAAAGTAAGTATCTGAACAGCCAATTTAAAGTTTACATATACAGCTGGTGATAGCTCAAATTGCATTTTAATATCAGATCCTGTTAGTGAGCCATCTCAACTTTTTGTACAGGTTTAGGAATCAGGCCATTTTAAAATTATGTCAAACGCATCTTTGTAAACATTTAAATCAAACAGACTGAAGAAACTTATTCAAATTAGACTTACAATGCAGTTCTATCCTTATGAAGTCTTTAATTCCCAGATTTTCTAAAAACACGCCCGAGGAAGCTGTAGTCTTAAAGAAAAAAGACACATCTGCACTAAGTTCTCCATGAAATGTGGGGAAATGAAGATATGAGGCTTCAGTGTTGAAGGAAGCAGCATTCCAAAACTCTCCTAATTGTAGAAGGAGAAAAAGGTAAAAAAAGGAAAAAAAACACAAAACTCGGTTACACATCTGTCTTATTTAAAAACTGAGGATGGCAGTCTATTAAACATGCATACAGATAATACCTTTTCACTTGCAATTGCATGCAGATCTCAGTCCAGACCTCCTGGAGTACTACAGGATACTGAAAGGATTCTGTTCTCCCACAAGATCTTTCCCATCTGCATAGGTCATCCATCAGTGCCTCTAACACTGTAGAATTAAGGCAGTTTGACACCATTTTAACATCGCTCAATGCTATGGAATTCTGGGATCTGCAGTTCAGTGAGGCATCAGCATTTTGGGGGGGGGGGAGAGAGAAATAGCTAAATACATTGTAAAACCACAACTCCTATGATACCATAGCATTGAGCCATGGCAGAAAAAGTGGTTGTAAGCTGTGATAATTCTACAGTCTTAATGGCTATGCAAGAAAGAGCCTTCTTGACTGCTTTACCAGTATTACTGACTTTCATGTTCTATTGCGTCCACTCTATCCCTTTTTGAATGGACCTCTGGAGAAACCAAAACAACATTGTATTCTACAGTTATAATTGATAGAAATGTTCTTGGACCACATTGTTTGCTACTTTCTCTCTTTCATTGTACTCTTTATTGTATTATTTTCATTGCTCATTTTATGGTTCACCTTTGTTGTTTGAATGTGATTGTTAGTTAATCACATTGGGGGCATTACTTCCAGGACTGATAGGTAGGCTTTAAGTACTAAAATAATGAAATGAAGAAATAAATGTTCATATATATGTCACTACGTTTCTACCTTAGACACTTAATTGCACCCTTCCTAGCCCATCACTACTGTAAGAAACCAAACAAAGAAGAGATTGGTTCAGTTTAGTAGCTGATTGGGGTTCAGGGAGGATAATGTTTCCAGATACCTCCCATCAGTGAGTGAGATTGCAATAAGGAATTGCAGCAGGTTCTGATTCGGATTGTTTCACCCTTGCTCACTAGTGGTAGGTGACTGGAAATATTAGACAATGTAATCTTATTGAAAACATAGCAATTACAGATCCATAACTTTACAAATCCGTATCTGCAATACTACATTACAGGCAAAGTCTGTGTGTAAAACAGCTTCATATGAACACACCACACCTTCTGAAATGTTGTTCATTATTTCATTTCATTTTATTTGTATTCTGCTTTTGTTACCATGGGACCCAAAGCAGCTTACAACAGTGTTAAAATGAGATAAAGCTAAAGCCTGATAGTTTATACATAATGGAACAAATTATCCTATTAAAACAGCATCACATTTTTTAAAAGTAAATTATTTAAAGACACAACAAAGGAGTTAAATACAGCAAATATACCATAACAAAGCAGCCTATGTTTTGTGCCATTATATTGAACTGCTGTATTTAGCTATTCTATACAAACAAACAAACAAACAAACAAACAATGAGACTCTCCATAGCCGCCGCCCCCCCCCCCCCCCAATCTTGGATCGGGACCTTAGAATACTCTGTTGATTGGGAGTACTTGCTAACATTACAGGAATTAATCAATTGCTTGGTAGCTAGTCTGTTTATAGGTTAGTGGACCTTTTAGCAGGGACTAACCTTGATTTTTACATTTTTAATAAACTTCAGGCCTGGTGTGATATGTTTGACATAACACTGCACTTTTAAATGCACCTTGTTATTTCTTCTAAATTCTAACAGTTATGCTTATCACTTCCATAAGCTCTACTGCTTTCTAAATGAAAAAAGACAATATATTTTAGTGAATACCAAATAGTTTTTCTCCTGCTACTTCCACCTTCCTTGCCCCCAAAATCTTTTTTCTTGTTTCCCACACCCCAAAGCCTTTTCCCCTCCCCTACTCCCCTCGCCATCCTTGCTTCCCAAACCCTATTCCCTCTCCCCCCGCAACACTCGGGGGGGGGGGGGGTGCTTTGATTGTCCTTTTCCTGCATGCAGAAGGGAAATGAACAGGATGGCCCCTGGGGTTTCTGTTGTTGTTGCTATTATTTATTTATTTACCATATTTGTACCCCATCCTTCTTAACTCTAAAGGGGACTCAAGGAAGGCTTTACACATAGTCAACTATTCGATGCCTTAAAAACAACATACAATTTAAATAAAACTAAAATACACTTTAAAACATTTAAAAGTATTACATTCACTATTAAAATCACACCATCCTCAATAGTAATTGATCTAATATCAGTTCCACAGCTGAGGTGCCACCACTGAGAAGCCCTGTCTCTCATCCCCACCAGTTGTGTCTGCGAAGAAGGTGGAACCGCGATCAGAGAATCCCCAGACAATCTTAATCTCCAAGGTGGTTCATCAGGGGAGATATGTTTGGACAGGTAAGCTGGCCGGAACCATTTAGAGCTTTATAAACTAAAGCCAGCACTTTGAATTGTGTTCAGTAGCAAACCTATCATCATTATTACTACAACTACAAAGGCTGAGTGTGGGTGGCCATTTGTTGGGAGTGCTTTGATTGTGCTTTTCCTGCATGGCAGAAGGAGGTTGGACTGGATGGCCCCTGGGGTCTTCCACTAAAATACTGTTAAGTTTATGTTGGTCAAAAAGTTTGCCCATGTCTGTGATACACATACACTATATTATATATTATATATTATGTGGCTTCACAAGAAACTTTTGTTTCAAAAAGGGTTCTGCAGCTGAAAAAGTTTGATAATGCCCGATCTAGTCAAATGTTTCAAAATGTTTCTCTCAAAATTTATGTCAACCTTCTCACTGCTGCAATAATGTAGCCACACATATTGCATGTCCTGTGGAAATACCAACACTACACTGCTATGTTTATATCAATGGATATCAATGGCTTCTTTGTTAGCGGGTAAATCTACTCTGAGTTTTAGTATTAACTGTAAAGGCATTTATCCTGAATGTTGCACTCTATCCCACAAACTAGATTCAGCATTGTGAATAAGTCCTTTGAATTTCAGCTTTAAATCCATGTCAAATTTATTTCAATGCCACCAATGCCTTTAAACACAAGAGTCCACAGGCATTTAAAGATGTATCAACACTTACATTAAGACATCATGCAGCTGCCATCACCACTCGCTTCCCAAGTTAATAATTCATGTTAGGTGGGAATGGTATGAAGGTGGTTACATTGCATTTTTTTAAAAAGCAAAACAAAAAAGACTTTCTATTTTTTATATAGCTGTTGATGCTATGGTCTATACCAGTTCTTCTGTACGATAGATAGATAGATAGATAGATAGATAGATAGATAGATAGATAGGGAACATGAAACTACATGTTCAAGATCTAATATGTAGCTATCGATTATTCTTTCTTTATTCTAACATTCCTATTGGAAGCAGTATGATGGAATAGGAGGGGTTTGAATCTTATTTCATCTATTTTTGTTTAAATCTATAAAACTTCCAAAGCATTGGGATTGAAAAAAATCACTCACATATAGGCTGGTCCATGGTAATTCCATCATTGCAGAACTCTTCTACAGAAGAGCTTTCATTATTATTTTCCTTTCTGAAAATACTCCTAAAATTTGGACTTCATTTGAAGGCTTTTTTCTATCCTACTGGTTCTGTTAATATAGATTCTCCCCAACCCATGCTAGGAAATGGAATATAACAATGTCGGAAAGTGGATGTGATCATTCATTACGTATCATCAACAGAATGTGATAGTTTACTATATATCATTAACAAAACAATGGCCTGTAAAGCTGCCTTAATTTTTCAGACTGTTATGAACAATGAAAACCATCAACGATTCCTTTTGAAATGTGATGTAAAATACATGCTTTTGTTCCAAGCATTACTGAGTGCTTTGAATGCAATATTCCTGCTCATGAGACCTCATGGGATGGCCCATGAGGTCTCTTCCAACTCTATGACTCTATGAAAGCTGAAAAAGAAAGCAGAGTTTCTAACCTCACCTCATCTGCAGTGCAGAGCTATCTTACAGTGTACACTTGACATGTACAGAGAACTCATGAACAGAGATACTTTATTTGCAATGTGAGTAACTTAAACAGAGGCTAAGAATATATTGTGGCTCACAAAGATGAACATTCTTAGAAAAAGAAACTCCTCTCCAGGCTACACATGGTTTTCTCAGAGGTATATTCTTTTTGAGCAATGACTCTAAAGCAGATATATTTGCTCTTTCCCACATCCCTAAATAACAATGCCAATGTTCTAAATAAACTTTTCCACAGTACATCAATGCATAGTTGCATACATGAGAGATATCTCAGACAGTAGACAGGGAATAATGTTTCAACTTCATTGCCCATGGTCACTAACTTCTTTTACCTCCCTGGCCTCATTGCACAAAGGCTACCATGAACATCTAAAATACCTGTTTGGCCTAAACAAATACCAAGGCCAAAATAATGAATGTACATATTGGATGAATCACAGTATGTACATTCTGTTATATCACAGAAATGTGTATGGCACGGGGAGAGTTGTCTGTTTCTATCCTCGAAATCTAGATCTAAATGAAAATGAGACAAAAATGGATAATGATTACCTGTGAAATATGCTAGAGGGTAATGTTGTTGAAGTGTAGCTTGCAGAAATTGTCACTGTATAGAACTTCACAGTAGTCCATCACTGGTAATTTCCTGACTAGGTTATTGTAATACAATCTACATGGAGTCCTTGTAGAGTCCTTCAAAAGGTGAAGCTTGTAGATTGAGCTGCTGCATATCAAATTCAGCAGCTCAATCTCTGAATGGTATATAATATAGATAGCATGCCATGCTTTTCTTAAAAGAATTGAATGGCCAACCAATATGTTTCTGGTCAGTAGGCTGTGTTTAATGATGGGGAAAAGCCCTCTCACTGTGACACCCCAACTGTGGAATGCTCTGGAAGCCCTGATTCAAGCCATCATTTAGGCACAAAATTAAAATTTGTCTGTTCATCAATAATTTTCGGCCTCACTAATGCAGTTTACTGGCTGCTGTTTATCATTTTAA